GCCCAGCTGGGGCGCGGCGCGGGGACCGGGCCGCGCGCCCCTCGGCGGGCCCCACTTCTCGTCTCCTCCCCTGCTCCACTCTCAGACTCTGGGTGGGTCTGGGTCCCTCGCTGACTTTCCGAGTCAGCTCCTCCGGGTCCCTGTGGGCCTCACTGGCCCTGGCTCTGCGGGTCTCCGTGTACCTGGGTCTGTGTGTCTCTCTGTCTCTCTGCGACTCTTTGCACGTCTCTGGGTCTCTGCCCCTGTCTCTGTCCGTGATCACCTCCCTATCCTCAGCCTGTGCCTGTGTGTCTGGGGTCTGCCTCTGTCCCTGTGTGCCTCCCCGTTCCCTTCTCTGTCTTCCTTGATCTCTGTCTTCATCTCTGAGTCTTTGCCTCTCTCTTCCTGCGTGTCTCTCCGCCTACATGTGTCTCTGTGCAGTCTCTGGAACTCACTCTGGCTCTCGCTCTGTCTCTTTATCTCTCTTCCTTTGGGGGCCCTCAGAGCCCCCCTCAGCCCTTGGGGCAGCCCAGGGCCCCAGTTTGTTTTCCTTTCGCACCCAGGCCAGTGGGGAGGGGTGAGGAATGGAGGCAGATGTTGGGGGGTGGGGCTGGGAAATCCCTTCCATGTTCCTTTCCTCCCCTCCCCCAAGGCCCTAGGCTCTGCCTTGGGGGCTCTGACCTGCCCTGCTTTGCTGGGGGCTCCAGGCAACTACCCTTCAACTCCTGGAGCCTCAGTTTCCCTTACTATGAAGTGGAGCCACCTTTTTCCCTGCTGTGGGCTCTTGCTCCCTGTATCATAGGGGCCAGCTGACCTATCCTTTGGGCCAAGGTGGAGGTGGTTGCTCCTTCCTTTCTTTTCCTGGGTAGGGCAAGAGGGGGCCATGGAAAAGGGGCTGCCTTCAGCTCCCTCCTCCCCCCAACCTTTGCGCTGATGTGTGGTAGATCCAGGGCCCAGCATTTCCCTTGCTAACTTCTGGGGTGTTGCTTCTGGCCTCAGTTCTACTCCGAACCTCTGATTGCACAGCCCCTCACTGCTCTTGGGGATTAGAGTTATTATCCCCGTCATACGGGTGAGAAAATTGAGGCTCAGAGAGGGATGACCACTTGCCCAAAGTCACACAGTGCCCTGCGGCACTCTGTCCTTGTGGCCCCTTGTCGATGAAATTTGACTTGAGCCTTGAGGGGCAGGGATTTTCAGAAGGGCTGCTGTGGTCCTGAGCCAGACACGAGGAGACTCTTGTTCAGGAGAAAGCTCTGGGATGGCCGGAGCTGAAGTGGCCCCTCTGGGGCCCAGAAGGGTGGCTGGTGCCCAGGGTCTCCCAGCTGGTCCCCTACGTGCGCTGGGTGGCTGTGAGCGTGAGCCTCTGTGAGGTTAGAGGAGAAGGATGGTGGGGGCAGGTGAGTCAGCCAGTGAGTCGGGGTGTGGAGTGGAGACCTGAGATAGATGGTGGGGAGGCTTGGCTCCTCCTGGCTGGCCCCGGGTCGGCAGAAGCCGAGGGCTCCCTGCTCAGGAGAGTGATGCCCCATTCTGAGTGGGCAGCACTGGTGTAGTTTGGGGCAAGGAGCTTGGTCACAACAGGAGATAGGTGATCACTAGAGAACAGATAGGTCCCAGATTCCCGAGTGGTGGGGAGGGTCAGGAGCAAGCATGGACTTTGGACTGTCTTGTATCCAGATCGCTGTCCTGCCCACAGCTTGCCCGTGGGATATCCACTCTATGTCAGTTTAACAGTCCTGAGCTCCTTCTGTGTGAGGGGCCCCTTCTACGCATTGGGGACATCATGGTGACCAAGAGGGACAAATGCCTCTTCACTCGGGGTGCTGATATACTCGTGGGGGAGACAGTGAAAAGCCAAAGCAAAAGAGTGAAATGTGCAGCAGTTTGGATGATGGCCAGTGCCGGGGATACAATAAAGTATGGCGAGGGTAGGCAGTGTGGGGAAAGGGAGGCTGCTAGAGCAGGGTGGTTTAGGGAGGGCTTTGAGGAGGTGACTCCTGAGCTGAGACCTGAGTGATGGGGAGGAGCCCTCCTTGGGCAATGCTGGGTGAAGCACGTTTCAGGTAAAGGGACAGATCTAGATGCAAAGGTCCTGAGGCAGGAGCCTGCCTAGTAAATTGGAGGAGAGCAGAAGGCCACTGGGCCTGGAGTCAAGTAAGCTGGGGGAGAGAGGGAAGACGAGGACAGAGAGGGGCCAGGTGGTGAGGTGGGAGCTCCGAGAGGGCCCTGAGCAGAGGATGGGACCGGCTAGGCCTGGTCAGCTCTAGTATGGGCATGGTGAGGCTGGTGGGAAAGGGAAGCTCTCCCCGCCTTCCCAGCCAAATGGGCGACTCTGTCCTCAGGTGGGCTCACTGCCCCTAGTGCCCACATGGGAAACTGAGGCTTGGAGAATGTTGTGATCAGCCCGAGTCCAAGCAGGCTTCATTGAGGGCTCAGTCCCTGCCTGGATTGGTTGAAGCAGGAGGGAGGATGGGGCAACAGGCCTGGGACCAGGGTTTCTTTTGAAATGTGTGTCTTGCAGAGGCGCTGGTCAGGAGATGCTGGGCCCACTTGTGGTGTCCCGCATTGGTGTTGAGGATGGGGCGGGAGCCCCTCCAGGCAGCCCTCTGGGGATGAGTAGGAGTTCCCTGGTGGATGTGGGAAAATGGACGAAAGCACAAGCCGGTGGAAGGAAGGAGCGAGAACCTGGCAAGCAGGGGTCTGCCCTGGGACTGGCCCTGCCAGGAGGACAGGCCCTGGGGGAGCGGGAGGGTCAAGAGCCTCCATCGAGCTGATCCTGGGTGTTGCCCTCCGATCTCTGCGTGGGGCCTGTGGGGAGTGCATGCACTTCATATGGGACCTCAGGCAGCATGGCACCTCGCCTCCAAGAGTGGGGTGCAGAGCCCCACTCTGTGGGACGGGTAGGGTCGACTTCTGTGCCTGCGCTCGTCTGGAGGCTGCCCTGGGGTAGGCCTCAGGTGGGCCGGGGACCGTGCGCCGCTGCCAATACCCTCTCCCTCCCCCCCCCGCCCCCCGCAGACTGTGGAGCATGGCTTCCCCAACCAGCCCAGCGCCCTGGCCTTCGACCCGGAGCTTCGCATCATGGCCATCGGCACCAGGTCTGGGGCCGTCAAGATGTATCCTTTGCGAACCGAGGCCTTCGGGGCCCGTCGGGATGTCCTGCTCGCAGCACCCCCAACCCCCC